AGCCTCCTGGGTTGCTAGGATTATAGGCATGTGACACCACACCCAGCTCAATATTGCTTCTTCCTCCCTCCCACTGGACTCAACATTTCCTTTACACAATAATGAACTCTACCAACCCTTAGGACATGAGGAAGTATGCTGGCAAAGAAGTGTAGATGTGGCTCAATTTCATAATAGGTATGCTGTTCCATTTCTAGTAATAAGATGGGCCATGTTGTGGGAACCAGTCTTCTCACAGAAAACAAACTAAAAGGAATTTAAAGTAACAAACGGGGGAAAAAATTAGTAAGGATATAGATTTGAACAACATGATTGACAAGCTTGATATGTCAAATTTGTACCCTGCACCCAATAACTGCAGAGTATACATTCTTTTTGATCACTCACATAATATTTACAAGTGGGCCACAAACTATTCTGTGAAGCAAGTTCCAACATATTCCAAAAACCAAGCAAGCATGTGCTCTTATCACAATGAAATTGTTAGATAACAGCTTTAAAAAAATCTGTATTTTTGAAAAGTCACTTTTAAAGACAATCTCTCTGGTTTTAAAGGTATCTGAAAGTGCATTCTTCATTGATTAAAGAAGCATTATTTGAGTGACTACTTTTCGCCAAGTATTGTACCAAATATGAATAGGACATGGCCCCTCCTCTCAAGGAACCAACTGCTGATAAATACTCAGTCTCTCTCTCATGAGGCTTTTTTCTACACCAGGCATCCTGGTAAGGGCTGTGGAAACTCAAAGGACACCATAATAGCACCGTCAGGGAAGGGAACCTTTTTAGTCTGGAAGAATGTACAGAGAGCATTCTTCTTTACCTGACCAATAGAGGGCTGAAGCTTAGGAGTTCTTCAAGTTGACCTTGATAGAGGTGGGGATTGGCAAAGGTGCAGTTGACCTTGGTAGAGGTAGGGATTGGCAAAGGTGCAGGCATGTTACACATGAAGTAACCTTAACGATGAGCTCTGCTAGCCACTAGGACATCAGAAAGTATGTTGGCAAAGAAATACAGCAGCCAGTGCAGTGGTGCACGCCTGTAATCCCAGTGACTCGGGAGGCTGGGCAGGAGGATCAAAAGTTCAAATCTAGCCTCAGTAAGGTGAGGCCTTGAGCAACTCAGTGAGACCCTGTCTCTAATAAAATATAAAGAAGGGCTGGAGATGCGGCTCTGTGGTTAAATGCCCCTGGGTTCAATTCCCTGGTACAAAAAAAGAAAGAAAGAAGGCAAAGGGTAGAAGAAGGGGCTTGTGAGAGAGAGAGGCAGGAGCCAGGTCTTGGAGAACCTTATGGTTCACATGAAAGAATCTGAACTCCATCCTCAATCTGGACTCCATCCAGGAGAAATCACTGAAAGGTTTTAAGCTAGTGAATGAGTGAACTTGGAGGTACTTGGAAAATAGAATACACCCACTAGAAGCTAGGAGTTCTATTAAACAGAAGAAGTATTAAAATTATTTAACAAAAGGGAATTGGCTAGTCATAAAAAGAAAAGCCAAAGTACTAGACCCCTGAGGCTCTTTTCGGGCCAGGTGTTCTTTCTTTGGTTATTGATCATGGAATAATCCAGAGCTCAAGGCTCAGAGCAATAACCACAACAGGACTTTAACATTTCAGCAGTGGTCACAGCTATATAGAGCTATGCAAGCTGTGTATCAGTCTATTAAGGTGGCTCAGGCAAGGTATGACAAGGGTCTCAACCATGGGGATAGAGGGAAAGGATCAGGTTTGAGAGAAATCAGAAAATATAATTGCATATCAATGACTAGGCATCAGGAAGAAGATTAGAGGCTACCCCTCACATTTCTGGCCTGCAAGGACTTAGAGAGAATCACTACATGAACTGGGATGGTTTGGGAAGCATTTATTGGTAACATGCCTTAGGAACTTGAGATGATCTGAAAGGTGTCTTGTTGGTGAGGTAAATTGGATACAAGTAGCTTGACCTGGCTATGGAGGTGAAAGGACCAGTCCCCTCCAGAGCCATATGTCCTATCTACTGCACTGGGAGGGAGGATGTTCCCTTGCCTGAGGCACTACAATCAGAAATTAGAACTCCTGAATTACTGTGGTTACACACCTTTCCCACAGGTTAAAGTGGAATTTCTTTGACATAAATGACAAAACTCTAAGGGTCACTTTGAGTCTGAGTCATGAGCTAAGCAGCTGTTTCACTTGTCAGATGTTAAATGATTTGTTCTGGATCAGAGGCTACAAGGCAAGAAATGGGGCTAGGAAAAAAAAAAAAAAGAGCAGGTCAGAGAGGGCAGTGGTTAACAGAGGTTTATGAGTGTGGTCTTTGGGCACCAGAAACAAACAGCATTGGGACTGACTTCTTATCCCAACATTAGAAATGTTAGAGCCCCCTCTTTGTCTTACTCCTCTCCCCAGCAGGAATATCTGTAACTAAGAATGAATTTCTCTAGAATGTTTCTACTGGATCACAAAGTTCTCTGGGAATGGACAGGGAGCTTTTGTTGACATTGAGCAAAACCTTGTAGAAGCCATGTGCAAAAAGCAGAAAGAAACTGATCTGGAAGAGAATGGAATCCATGAAGGGGTGTGTGTATGTGTGTGTGTGTGTGTGTGTGTTAAGATTATTTTAAAGATAGCTACTTTGAAAGGAGATTGACTAAGTTGCTAATATATGCAATAAGCACCATTATCTTGCTGCATATCCTCTACCAACTTTTAGACACTTATGTCAGAACTAACTGCAGTTTACAAGGTGTTTTGGTTTTTATTTTGAAAATATTCCATTTTTTTTGCCATATATCCATATGTGTAAGAGAATTTTTTGGGGGTGGGGATACTGGGGATTGAACTCAGGGGCCCTTGACCAGTAAGCCACATTCCCAGTCCTATTTTGAATTTTATTTAGAGACAGGGTCTCACACAGTTGCTTAGCGCCTCACTTTTTCTGAGGCTGGCTTTGAACAATACTCCTGCCTCGGCCTCCCAAAGTGCTGGGATTACAGGCATGCACCACTGCGTCCAGCTGTAAAAACAGACTTTCTTATGCCCTCACCTGGTCAAAACAAAGGACATTTTTTTTTTCTGTATTGAGGATTAAACTCAGGCTCTTGTGCATGCTAGGCAAACACTCTATCACTGAGAGACATCCACAGCCCTTTTTATTTTAGCTTGGTACAGGGTCTCACTAAATTGTCCAGGCTAATCTGAAACTTATCTGAGTTCTCCAGCCTCCGCCTCCTGAGTTGTTGGGATTACAGGCATACATCACTATGCCCTACTATAAAAGATCTTAGAACCAGAGAGAACTTCAGTCTTGGAATGAGCTGTAGTCAATTATTTCATCTTTCTCCCTAATGTAAGAATTCTCAGTATTTAATTTTTTTGCCTGTAAATCCCCTAAAACTATACAAGTTTACAAAGTGAACATAATTGATTTATTATTCATTCATGAATATAAGCCTTTTAAGTTTATATATAAATATAATCTGAATGTTTATATATGAAAATAAATGTGTATTTTTCATTTTAAATAAATATTTGAGTAAAGAGAGGAAGAAAGTTAATGCATGGATTATATGCTATAATAAACATGAATATATACAATATGTATCTATTAACGACTTGACTTTACATGCATTTGTGATATGAGCTTCAGTTATATATGATCAAGATTTGACTGTCTTCTAAATCCTCATAATATAAATTTACTTTGAAGGGTTGGGGATGTAACTCAGTAGTAGAGCGCTTGCCTAGTATGCACAAGGCCCTGATTCAATCTCCCAGGACCTCCAAAAAGAAAAAAGAAAAAAAAATGCATTAAAGTCTTTGATAAAGTTTTGATTGCCCTATGTTATTGCATCATTAATACTATATATCTGCAAAAGAAAATACTAAGGGACCTTTGTTTAAAACACAAAAATATATGTACACATTTTTATGCTAGTAGGGTTTTTCAAGTCCTCAGACTTTTTATTTCTCTCAGTGGAATTTGGGAAGTGCCATGCTTGAATTAATGCTCCACGCTGGCTCTGGGAACTCTTCGTAGAAAGGTCACCTCATTTCTGTTTGCATACATGGGGCAGAATAAATAACCTTGAAAAATAAGCTTATGATGTTTATGAATTTCAAAGGTCACAGGAAATCTGCTTCTTAGAAAGCACTGTTAAAGGTCACAAGTCAAATTCAGGAAGTAGAGGTACGATGTGACTTCCCTCTGCCGTGGGCCACTTACTTTGTACATTCCAAACAGGACCAAAGCTAAGAAACAAAAATAGAGAAACAAGGAAGCCAGGAGCTAGGGTTTTAGCTTCGTGGTAGAGTGCTTGCCTAGCATGCATGAGGCCCTGGGTTCAGTCCCCAGCACTGAATAAGAGAAGAGAAATAAAGAAACTAGTGGAAAGTTTGGTTTATAGATTAAGGATACTCATAGAGACAGATGACTGTTGTAGTCAGTTGGAATTTCACCCCTGGACTGTCTCCCTGGGACATGTAATTGGCTCTCACTTCCTGCAGGCATTATTATGTGCTGCAGGCAGATCCCTGTCAACTGTTTTAATGGTGACTGCCCTGTGTATTTCTGTTGGAAATAATGTTTACACACTGCAGCTCAAGGAGCAACTGACCTCTGCCCCAGGAATCCATGATTAGAAAATGGGATCATAGATCAAGATTAAAGGTCTATGAATATTGTTCTCTTTCCTACCCAAAGAGATGAAGATTGTCTCTGGCACTTTCCCCTTGGCATCCATAAATGTACACTGCATTGTCAATGTTTAGGTTTTTCACAGTAAGAATCAACAATATCAATTCAGAAAAATGCAAATGCTGATTGTGACGGACCCATAATTCCAGTGTTCTTCTCTCATCAGCACCTGAATCTCAGAAAAATTAAAAGATTACAACTCTGAAAAATATTTTATTCCTTTTTTGAGTAAATCAGAGTATAAGGTAACACAAGAGCTAAAAAATTAAAGAAGTCATGTCAAAAGTAAAAGTCCCCATGAGCCCCTACCCCAGCCCTGAGTAACCATTTAAGTAATTTAGTGCATTTTCTTCCCTCTTATTTTCTACAGCAGATTGTATGTTTTATGTGTATATAAAAATGAAATCACTACAATTTATACTGTTTGGAAAAAAGCTTTTTTTCTTCCACTGGAGTATATACCCTGGACATGTTCACTGTTAAATCAATAATACTATACCATGGTTTATGTAACCACCTCCCTGTCGTCCCCACACACACCTTTTATTGATTTATTTACTTACCTATTTTTACAAATTGAGAAGAAGATGAAAATTTCAACAACGGGGACTGTCCAGTTGCAATTGGTTAAATCTTATAGTCACAGATGATACTAGGTGCATGACAACTTGAGTTTCAGGCCAAGGAGTAACGTTTCATGTTGATTATATAGTGTTTATATTTTAAGCCAGCGGCATGTTGAAGGTATAAATTTTTATTTCTGTAGGAATAAAATCAGAATTTCATCTGATCATTGTTCCCTTCTTAAGTTTTTCTCACTGAAGAAAATGGATTTTGAACTACTTTTAAAGAGAAATTCAGTGGGCCGCTTGCCCTGTGAGTAAAGACCACAGACCAAAATATATGGATGATTTACTTCCTAGTTATTAAAACTGATCTCTCGTGCAATATTTAAGATTTTTCTTTTGGAACGCTGGATCTATGTCTTGCACCTAAAATCTGCTTTCTTGCCAAAGACAGTTTCACTGAAAATATCTCATAACTGACAATCAAATTTAGAATAGTAAAGGAGGTTCCAAGACTGGGCTTCCAGGAGAGAGCCTAGAAAAGAATGCAAAACTCAGCATGCTGTGTGTGTTGTACACGTTTGCCTTGGCACCTTGGAAAACAGACGACGGGGAGGCAGCTGGTTTCTGCAATCACAGAGCACATTAGCTTGAGGCTGGAAAATGGCCTTGATTATTATGCAAGACACATAATACTCTTATTAGTGCCACACTGATTAGAGCTGCGCAGTCACAGTTTTCTGTAATACCCTAATTGAGGTTCTTCCTCACATGGAATTTACATTATCTGTAGATAAATCCCACAGTATGACATTTTAATGAGTATTTTAACAAAGTCCAAAGGACAATTAGAACTATCAACTTTGCAGGATCATTTTTTTTTTTTTTTAAGACAAAGAAGGCATGGTGCCAATGAAAAGGATTCATTTAAGAGAATCCATTTTACTAAGTGCAGATGAGTATTCGATAGCAACAACCCACTTTCTCAGTTAAATTTGGCCTGGTTTCACATTCCTGTCCTTCACTGTACTTCTGACATTTGTGGATAGAGACTTTGTGTACGTTTTTTATTTGGGGTACTGGGGATTGAACCCAGGAGTGCTTAACCACTGAGCCACATCCCCAGAACTTTTTATATTTTACTTAGAAATAGGGTTTTGCTAAGTTGCTTAGAGCCTTGCTAAATTGCTGAGGCTGGGTTTGACCTCATGATCCTCCTGCCTCAGCCTCCCAAGATTACAGGAATGCAGTGCTACACCCAGCTTTTGTGTATTTCTTAAATTTAGATTTAATTCATCTTGAAATGGAGCTGGGGGAATGCTTTGGATTCATAGATGAGAAATGATGGTGGTCAGTGTTTTACTTCTTCATCCTTTTATTTGTTTTTAATGCACAGAATGGTATTTTTGTTTTACAAAGCATCTGTGGGGTCATTTCTCAAGACCCTCACTGTAATTATCTCCTGTTTAGCCTTTGACCCCTGGTGATGGATGTTATAAGAGAGGAGGGGCATCCAGTTCCCTGGTCAGGACTCATGCCACTTCTCCCTAGTCTTTGTTCTCCCTCTCCAAGTCAGGCAGTTGTAACATTGTAGGAAAGGGACAATCAATCTTACCAATCTCAAGATCTTATTAGGCATAGATTTTGATTCTCTATCTATCTCTGACTTTAGAAATTTTAGAATTTGCTTTCTTTGTTCATAAGCCCAAATCAGAAATGTGACCAGAAATCTTGAGAGTAGACCCCTTAAAATGTATAGATACCACTGCCTCCTCTGTATTCCTGCTGCACTTTCTTTATAACCTGGTCCAGCATGGGTTGTATTGTTTATCATGTCTGTTAGCACATCTGCCTCATCCACTGGGCTCTAACCCCCTCGAGGTCTGGGAATCAGTTTTATTAGCCTCCATATCACAGCATTATGGCTGACACATATAGTTACTCAATAAAAGTATGAAGGAATGGACACATAGTAAATAAAAATATCTTCTTATAAAGCTAAACAGAAACTTATATGACTCAGTTATTCCACTTCTACATATTTACACAAAGTACAGGAAATTTTGATGCATGCAAAAAAACTGTATGATATATTTACATTATCTTTATTTATAATCATTGCAAACTGGAAACAGTCCAACAATCCTTCCACTGGTGAGTGGATAAACTAACTGTGGTATATTCACAAAATTGAGCATAACACAGCAAAGAAAAATAAGCCACTGGTATGTGCAATAATTTACATGAATCTCAGATATGTAATGCTAAGTGTAAGAAGCATATTCAAAAAGTGAAATGCAGAATGATTCCATTTATATAACGTTCTGGAAAGGACAAACCTACAGGAACAGAGAACAGAGGAGGGGTTGACCCCAAAGGTGCAACACAAAGGAAAGTTTCAAGGTGATAGAATTATTCCGTTTCCCAATTATGGTTGTAGTTACATGGCTGCACATTTGCCAAATGCAGAGAGCTAGATATCTGCAAATAATAAATAAATCTTATGGTATCTATATGAGTTACCAATTCAATTTGAAAAAGCAAATCAAAATATTTTGCTATTTAGTGTGGATCCAGAAAAAAAATTAAAAGGAAACCACATATACACTGTGTGTGTGTGTGTGTGTGTGTATTTTCATTAAATAAACATTTAAAGAACACCTCCTATGGACTGGGACTTCCTAATGGCACTAGGGAGATATTGGTAAGTCAGAAAAGCAGGGATTCTGCTTTCCTGGAGGAGGAAAAGGACAAGTAAAAACATGTAAACTAATAAACAAATAAGACAGCTTTAGATAATGCTTAGTGCTATCAAGACAATAAAACAGGTCTCCAGTGACAGAAAGTGGCATTTAATGTGTGGATCCCTCTGACCCTAAACTGATCCCTAGAAGGTGGAAGGAGACAGCCATCAATGCAAATATTTAGACAGAGCAGTCCACATAGGGCAGATATCAAATGCTAAGGATTTGTAGGGGACTATAATCTAAATTGAGGTGAGATGTGCTGAGGACAAAAAAAAAAAAAAAACTTACTTCAAAACTCAGAAAGACTGGCTAAAATACATAAACATACTTTTAAATGCATGGCTAGGTTTCTGGGGAAAAGGCTTAGCCCCAAAGATTGGAATTAGGATCTATTTTCAAAGAACTGCAGGCTGATCAATGGAACTGGACCAAGTGAGGAAAAGGATCAGCTGAAGAAGATGAGCTCAGACATTTAACTAGGGATCAGTCCATGCAGGTCTTGGAGCTGTGGTAAGACACGTGGGTTGCAATCCATATGTGTGGGGAGTCTTTAAACAGCAGAGCAAAGTGTACTTGTTGACGTTTAAAAATACAACTCTGACTACTATAGGGAAAGTGGACTATGGCAGACCAAGAGAGGCAGGGAGACCAGTTAAGAGGCTGTCACTGAAGGTCAGGAAGCGGTCCATGTGAACTGGAACCTGTGTAGTACCACAGAGATAAGAAGAAATGGATGGTTTTGAGATGGATTTTAGAGACAGGACTTGCCAATGGGTTGAACATAGCAGGTAGTAAGGGAAAATGGGGAATCAAGGATGAAATATTGAATGTTTTTAGCATGAATAATTTCTGACTGGCAGAGCTGGATTAGGAAAGTTGAGAGAGAAATGAGAGTTTTTCCTTGGTAGTGTGGTAGAAAATCTAAAGTTCCATTTTGCATATGGTATATCTGAAATGCCTGGTAGGTATCTATCTCTGTAAAGAGGTAAATAGGCAGGTAGAGAGGTAGTTCTGGCATTCCAGGAAGAGAACAGGATACATTTTACAGGCAAAGACATGGAGAGGGTGCATGAAGTCTGGAGATAAATGAACCCCCTGTAGACAGAGGAGAGAGTCAATGACAATATTGGGGGTTTGCAGACTTTGGGGGACCAGCTAAGGAGGGCCAGGCAGGTGGAAAACAGACTAGTACTGATGAGGAAGTCAAGGAAAACAAACTTTTCAAAAATAAGGGAATAGATTTGGAAGTTTTCAGTAACATCAAGACAGAGAAGTGACTGCTAAATTCGGCAAAATTGGTGACCTTGACCAGCCCCATTTGTGTGGAATTCAGGACAGAAGTCTGTTTGGAGTGAGAAAGTGGAGATAGTTGCTACCGATCATTCTTTTGAGAAGTGTTTGCTGTGATGAGGAAAGAGAAAGCAGTTCAGCCGCAGAAGCCTGTGAGGGCCAAGGAAGGGGTGTTACTAGATGCTGGGCGTGGATGTGTGGAAGAAGCAACTCCTGAAGTGAAGTAAGAAAATGTGTTGGTAAGGGCTGGAGAGGAGAGGTAGGTAACTACAGGAGTTCCGTCCCTGTGAGAAAGAGAAAGATGGGCTTCAGAGTCCACATGAACCAGCGGACCTTAGATTGGCACATGGACAGGTCATCTGCTATAGAGATGGGACAGGAGAAGGCAGATCAGGCTAGTGAAGAGTGAGAAGATGAGATGTGTGTAGTTCTTTCTGTGTTTCTTTTCTCAAAGGATCAGGAATTGAGTTCAAGTATAAAGAATGAGATTGACGACTGGATATTTGGAAAGGGATGGACTCAAGGACTAAAAACAGTTTTGGAGCGTGGGAGAAAAGCATATTGCAAATAAATGAAAAGAGAAATGGGTGGACAACACATTCTTTACACAGAAAGAGGTCACCAAAATGCATGTGATTGTGCATGTATGGGTATATACACACATGGATACATGTACACCATGCAAGGAATAAGAAGACAGACTTCATGGCTAATGACATAGAGGCAGACCTGAGCAGCAATGAACAGGCTAATCTTCAGCTGTTCTAAACTGAGCAGAGCTGGCCTCTGGATCAGTTAGTTCTCTTCTGGTTTTATTTATTTATTTTTTTTCAACTATTTATTATTTAGTTGTAGTTGAACACAATATCTTTATTTAATTTATTTATTTGTATGTGATGCCGAGGATGGAACCCAGGGCCTTGCACAAGCTAGGCGAGCACTCTACTGTTAAGCCACAACCCCAGCCCCTTATTTTTTTTTTTATTTTTAAATTTATTTATTTATTTTAGTTGTCAATGGACCTTTATTTTATTTATTTATATGCAGTGTTGAGAATTGAACCCAGTTCCTTACACATGCTAAGCAAGCACTTTACCACTGAGCTACAACCCCAGCCCTCTCTTTTGATTTTACATTGTTATCCAATATCCTTGGTAGACTGAAACCTTCTCAACTGGAATCACTTTGTAGTAAGTCTCTTCATCCACTGATTTCATGTTCCAAGACAACCTTCCTAAAACCAGCTGTTGAGAAGGAGCCTGATGGCTTTGGAGGGGCATCTGGAGAAATCTAGGCAAAAGCAGGGAGCCTGGAGTTTCATAGAGAATAGCTACAATTCTCCAACTTAATTTCACCCATCAAGCTAGTGAGGGACCTGTGTCTGGTTTAGGTATGAAGTGTCCCCAAAAAGTATTGTGTAAGACAGCACAGAAAATTTAGAGGGTGAAATGCTCGGGTTATGAGACCCTTAATCCAATCAGCATGTTAATCCACTTGAATGGATTAACTGGGTTGCAGGTAGGGTGGGCTGGAGGAGATAGGTCTCTGGGAGCATGTCTTTGGGGTATATATTTTGTCCCTGGTGAACAGAGCCCTCTCTCTGCTTCCTTGTCACCACATCCTGAGCTACTTTCCTCTGTCACACCCTTCTACCTTGATGTTCTGCCTCATCTCGAGCACAGAGCAACAGAGTCAACCATCTATGGACTGAGACCTTTGAAACCATGAGCACCAAATAAACTTTTCCTCCTCTACATTGTTCTTGTCAGGTCTTTTGGTCACAGTGGTGAAAAAGCTAACTATCACAAGCTGTAATTACAAAGAGGAGTGTATCAGTTTCCTATTACTGCTGCAATAAATCACCACAAATGTTTCAGCCTCAAACATTATAAATTTATTATCTGACACTTCTTGAGGTCAGAAGTTCAAGTACACTGGCAGAGTTTCACTAGGAGAGGAGTCTTGGCCTTTTCTACCAGTCACCTACATTCCTTGGCTTGTGGTCTCTGCCTCAATCTCCAAAGCAAGCAGCATGGCGTCTTCAAATCTCCCCAGTCCAACCTCGGCTTCTGTCCTTCTCTCACTCAGATTCTCCTACTTCCCTCTTGTCCATTGAAGGACACTTGCATTTACACTTGGCCTAGTCACATACTGCAGGACAATCTTTCTCTCCATATGTTTGACTTAATAATTCTTGCTGCGTCTCTTTTCATGTAGGGTAACATGTTCACAGACTCTGGAGATTGGGATGAGAATGGCTTTGCTGGGAGGAAGCATTATTCCATCTACAAGAAGCATCAACTCTACTCACTGTAGTAAATTTCTCCTTTACAAACTTCACTTTCTGAACTAACATATTTGATCGATGGTACCAGAGCCTTCCCCTATTTGTCTTTGATCCTCTTCCTTGTACTTTATGGAATGTGCTCTAGCCTGAAATTTAACAGATCACTGAAATCTTTCATTTTTCTTCCAATGTTTAAAATAATAGAACCTAGAATGTCTTTTTTTTTTAAAAAAAAAAGATATTTAGATGAAGCTCTGAAATCAAATATGAAATAAGCAGTTATATTTCCCCTGTTCCATCATAGAATTTATTCTGCATTGGATAGGTAAAACTTTTTAATTTATGCCACATAAAGCATCAAAAGCAATCATATTTCCCTAACATTTATTTAAAAATTAATTTATCAACCCCCATAATATCCATATACTAAATTCCCAGGAAAATTTATTAATCTAAGATTAATATAGTATGTCATTGATGCTTACATCACTTGTCAACAAATTCAGTGAGTGAGTGGGTACACACATGAGGCCATGTGTTGATATATAATTCTGTTTCAAATCCTGACAGGGAAGATTCTGATATGTGACTTCAGCTCTGTGGCCTTGAGGAAGTTATGTCACCTTCAGAATCTCACTTGGCTTTTGTGTGAACAGTGAATAATTATACAGTTCTCCTGGGACTGGGATGTAGACTACCTGACTTACGTTCACAGAAAGTCTTAGAAACACCAAGCCTTGCTATAAATTAGAATTTCGCTCCACATAATTCATCTCTGCCTCTATAAATCTCCTCTGTGTTTTCAATTAGATTTGATACGCCTCATTACTTTGCATTTAGAATCATGTTTGCATTTTCCTTTCAACCATTTTAATATTCATTCAAAGATTGGCTTTTTGTTCTTAAAGGCATTTCTGTTTGCATCCCACTGTGGTTGTTTTTTACTATATTAAGATAAAAATTCTATTTTTGTTACATTTAGAAATCTTCAGTTTCTGTTTGGAGCTGGGTACCATGCTCAGCAGACTCGATGTTCCCTTGGCTGCTTCCTTTACTCCAACCTAACTGGGAGCCATGGATGCTGTCTACAGAGAGCCATTTCATGGCAGACAGCAGGGTGGAAAATAGTGGAGAGTGATCTGAAAGAACAAACACAAGATACCCAGCACAGTGACCTATTGGATGAAGCATTTTTCCCTAATTAATGTTGGCCTTTGGGATTTAATTACATATAAGCCCACAGGCACCCCCTACTTAGACCTGAAGCCCTTTGGGGTCAGGCATCTTTATTTCAGCACTGCCAATGGTACACTTAAAACTGAGTTGGTCACCATGGCGGATCAGCTTGTTCCTCTGAGGACAGTAAAACTCGACTGAAAAATCCAGGTGGAGATGCCAGGGGGACTTTCCTGACAGGCTCCTAGAGGAAGCCTTGCTCATTCTTCCCGTCTGCTCTTCCAGGGTGGAGCTTCAGCATGGGCTCAGCCTACCAGTTTCACAGCTGGCGTGTATTTGTCATTGTCTGCGCGCTGCCCTGCGTCTGTTCTGTGGTAGCCCTCACCTTCATGCCTGAAAGCCCCCGGTTCTTGTTGGAGGTAATGTTTATTACATATACTCAAGTAGCCCACATACACTGGAAGGAGTTCCTTGCTAATCCTAGGAATTATGTTGGTCTCTTTGGCAGGTACAGTTTTCCTTCCTACATGGAACCATAGAGGGTTAGATTTCATGAAGACAGGTTTTAAACAACCAATGTGTGGAAAAGCTGCCTCATGGCCAGAAATATTTATGTTCCTCCTTAAACAACCTTTCACTTAATGAAGAGAACATGCCTTATTATTTTGTAAATGAAATTTTGCCCTTCACATGTACTATTCCTAGTTACAGGCACATAGTTTGAACTGCTAGTGTATTCAATGACATCCAGATAATCTGTTTCTGCCGGTGGGACTTATCTACATGCCTTTGCACAATTACACTCTATGTGGTCTGAGAGTACAAGATGGTTATTGGAAAATCAGGGGGGATATGTGTTTTGCTCCTAGAGCCTCACTGCCTGTACATTTCTTAGGTTGGAAAACACGATGAAGCTTGGATGATTCTGAAGTTAATTCATGACACCAACATGAGAGCACGGGGTCAACCAGAGAAGGTCTTCACGGTGAGTCTGCTCAGAGAATCTTCCACACCAGAGTTCGGGACAAATTTTCTGTCAAGGACCAGATTGTAAATATTTGGTGTGTGTGCCCCATCTTTTTATTTATCAGAGTGAAACAATAGCAACTGTTCTTTTTCATAGACTTAACAGAGACTTAAAAAAATTTTCATAGACTTAAAAAAAATTTAAGTCAATAAATAACATCACATATAAAGAACTTTACATGCATTATAAACAAACTCTGCCAAGTACTTGCTTAGCATTTTTTTAGATTTTTGAATGGTTTAAATTTTAATTATTTGTGAAGTTAATAGCTATAATAATTCAGATTGTAAACATTTAATTTATTAAATTTTTTTTAGTTGTTGATGGGCCTTTATTTAATTAATTTATTTATATGTGGTGCTGAGAATCGAACCCAGTGCCTCACACATGCTAAGCAAGTGCTCTACCACTGAGCCATATCCCCAGCCCCAGATTATAAACATTTTAAACTTTGCAAACCATTTAGTGTCTATCACAACTATGCAACTCCACCACAGTAATATAACAGCAGCTACAGATGATGTGTAAATAAATGAGTGTGGTTGTGTTCTAATAAAAGTTTATTTACTCAGATAGGCAGAGGGCTGGTTTGGTCTGTAGGTTGCCAACCCTATCTATGACTAACTATAACTCCACGGCTCTGTGTTTGTTTAAATAATACTACCAGCCTGAGAGATGGGTTAAGGTAGAAAGATCACATTTTGATCTCAGACTTATTCTGACTCCCAGGCTCAGTACCAGAGGACAGGAGGCCCTGGTTGTAGGGATCACCAACAGATATCGCTTGATTTGCTGTCAGAGGAGATCAATGCCTGTTGGGCCATCTCCTCTGCTCTGCCAGGCCACTGCTCTTGCCCCTGAAATGTATTTCCACCTGCTGCTCAGCCAAGAAGCACAGAACATCCTAATGCAGAAGGATTTTAAGTTACGAGACACTCCATTACCACAAAAAGAAAAAAAAAAAGATCAGATTATATGAAACACAGTGGCATTAAATACCCTCACTAGTAATAATTCTGGTCACTAACCTTCCAGGACGTTGCCCAATGACATACAACCCCTCCAAAGATAACCATTCATAGCAACTCCGTAGTGTTTTCTCCAAGTTGTCAGGAATTATCCTTCATAATGCTGAGGCCCTAAGAAACATTAAGATACTTAGTAAAATTTTAAAGTTATTTACTAAGAGTTTTTTTTTAATCTAGTAAAAAATGAGAAAACAATTATACTAGAGGATCAAAGCAGTGTTAAGTAAGCATGAAACTAATCTCTGGGTTTCCTGACAACTGAGGTAAAAGACAGATTTAATAGATTGCATAAGGGTATTTTTCTGTTTTTTTTTTATTAGCATTTTATAATTGTACATAATAATGGAAGTTGTTATTACATATTTATATATGCAAGTAACATAATTCATTCAATTTCCTTCCTTGATACCTCCATTTTCTTTCCCCTCTCCTCTGGTAGATTACATAGTTTTTGATATAAAGTAAATAGCAATGCATTTGTTTTTCAAAAAAAAGTCAACTTTAGTTCTAATTTGTGAAAAGTTTATATAATCTTGTTATAAGGAATACTGAGCAATGTAAGAGATGTTATCTACAACAAAAACTTTACATAAAGGCAAATATTTTACACGTGGCAATTTCTTAGGTCAATAACTAATCAGAATTTGATAAAGGAAGGTAGTCTTGTGGGAAACCAGAGAAAGATAATCCAAATATGTAGCTACACCTTATTGTGGCTTGATAAGAACATAAAAGATGAAAGAATCAAGAAATTTATTTCTAAAATAGGTCTCATTTTATGATACATGTACACACATGAGCACAAACATATATAATGTGTATCCCAATTTCACATTCTACTGACTTCACATTGTTCTCAGGATAAAGACAAAAATCCTCAATGTTGACAACAAGGACAAGACCCTCCTACTTTTCAGGTCCTCTCTGTATATACACTCATCTTTCAGTTCCTAAGGTTTGCCATTCAACCTAATATGTCACAAGCTGTTCTCTATGCCAGGAATGTTCTTCCATCTTCTAGTTTTTATTCCCTATAGAGAATAAACTATATGGAAAGCCAGTCAAATTAATAAAAATTTTTGGAAGGAATGATCGTTTTAAATCTTTTGATATACACAGTCATACAAGTAGACTAAAAATGTTTTGTTGTAAAAAAGTTTAAAAGGATGTTCACTAAAACATAAAAGGAACCTACGTAAGAACTTCAGTGGCTTTAATAGTATCAATTACAGTTGTTAAAACATGTAAAATGGACCCTGATTAGGTATCTTATTTATTCAGTTCATTTCTACTTAGGAAATGGATTTTTTTATAATGTAAAGATGTGCTGTAGTCTGGCCTATATCCAAATTATCAGATGTTAATTTCCAGTGGTGAGAATCCAACCAAGGACCTCTGTATGCTAGGCAAACACTACCACTGAGTTATACCACCAACCTCACAGATGCTTCATTAGCAAAATTTTCTATGCAATGTGATGGAGAAATGAAAATCAGTAATGGATATCCCCCATTCAAGGCCAGGTGGCCTTTTAATAGGCCCTTCTTTTGAGTTAATGTACAACAGCATTAACGTTATTAACAATTTTTAAAATTAGATAATCATAAGGTTAGAGGAAACTTGAGATGTCATCTAGATACTTCATGTTATTTAATCCTTCTCATTCAGACAAGGATAAATCCTTATCAAATACCTTCTGAGAAAGTGTCTCTGTAGGTTCTCATTGCCCTGCTTGCCTACCTTTTCTTCAAGAAGGCTTGAGTCACCAAACCTACTCATGGTCATCCTTGTTATTACATAAATGTTGAAGAAGAATAATGTGGAAATGCACCAAAAGAATGGATAATCTCCAAGTCTTTTATACATGACTTCTAAAATCATTACATGATTCTACCATGACAAATTTATCTTTTTTTTTAGTTCTATATACAATACAATAAAGTTGCATGCATTTTACCCAAAGTCTCCTCTTTAAGCTCTTCTTGATCTGTCCTTACCTTAAGTATTTTCCGAGACTTCATTTTCAGCTAACTTCTCTGTTAACCCCCTACACACTCTCCTTAATTGTTCTCAGCTATTTCATGTGTCTCTGTCTCCTAATGCACAAATCTCCTAAGCTCCAGACATGTATGTTGAAGGGCTTTGTGAACATCCTTCTGTATCCAATGGCCCTTCAAACACTATGTCTCTAAACCTGAACTTATCACCGTTATATCCAAAGAATCACCATTTCCTCTTATTTCACCTCCTAAATTGCCAGTCATAATTTTCCTTACTTTCCAGTTCTTACTGCCACCAATTTGGCTCAATCTTCATCACTCAATGCCCTCTGACCTTGCACTATTTGCCAAAAATGCCAAACTCTTTGTTGTTAGCCACTGCAGTGTTTTCCCTCACATCTCCAATGTTTGTACATGTTATTCCTCCAAACAGTTTATACACTTAGCAAATATGATACTTCTATGTCCACCTCAATTCAAATTCTGGAGTCCATGAAGCTTTCTGATTTTCATCAAATTGAATGTTCTGAACAGTATTTTTCTCATTCTATACAGACCTCCACATGAGCACTTTCACTCTCATGTGGTAATTGCTTGGAAGTTATGATGTTTCATGTTTACAGCTCCAGTAGGTGCCAATGAATGGATGAATGATCAAATGATGATGAGTGGAGAAGTGGAAGCCTCTCAAAAGTAAAACGTTGAATTATGAGAACATTCTTTGCCAGACTCAGTGGTGTAAACCTATAATCCCAGCTACTTAGGAGACTAAAACAGAGGATGGAAAATTCAAGGCCAGCCTGAGCAATTTAACAAGACCCTGTCTCAAAACAAAAAGGGATGGAGGTGTAGCTCAGGGGTAAAGCATCCCTGGGTTCAATCCCCAGTATTGAAAAAAAAAAAAACAAAAAAAAAAAACCCAAAAAACTTGTGATTAAAAAAAAAAAACAAAAAACTAGAGTATCACAGAATAATCCCTACATGGATTATTTTGAACTGATTATATTTGAAATTCCATATTTAACCCAGAAATAGACATCTTTGTTCATATAGCCAAAAAGAAACTACTGCCTACCTGGTACAATTTGAAAGATGCTAGGGTTCCCACATCCTCTCTGTTAAAATCCAGCCTCAGAACCAGGATATTGAGGATGGCAATACAGTAGAATTGCTATCTGGAATGTTGACAGGCTTCCCAGAAAAACCTGCTCAAACAAGAATAAAAGGTAAAGGGTAAAGGGTACACATTTCCATGTCCTCTCAGATGGTTCAAAAATCAGCAAGTGTGGATTAACAGGGGAAGGTGGGCCAGGTCCACAAAGGAGGTGTTCTTCCTTTTTTCCTCTTTTCAGGATTCATTCTCTGTGCTGAAAACACTGCTCACCTGTTTTGTAGCTCTTTTCTTAGCAAAAAGTGACTATCTGGAGTCGCAGATGCAGCTTTTCTTGTTGAACTTCTGCCATTGATTTCCCTTGAGAAACTGAAGAATTAGTGTTGATGCTCGGTCACTTGCATTGAGGCCACCTGTGGGATTTGCTGGCTAGCCACTTCTTGGTTAGGCTGCAGGAGAAGGAGGAAAGGGCCTTAGTGACACTCTACAAATACAAGTTTGATGGGAAAGCTTTAAGGAGTATAAAGGTCAATAAAAGAAGGTCAATAAAAATAATTCTTATGGGGCTGGGGCTGTAGCTCAGTGGTAGAGCGCTTGCCTTGCACATGTGAAGCACTGGGTTCTATCCTCAGCACCACATAATCATAAATAAAAATAAAGATATTGGGTTCATCTACAACTAAAAAAATTAAAAAAAATAATTCTTTTATATATATTAGTTGTGGATGAACCTTTATTTTTATGTATTTATCTCTAGTGCTGAGGATGGAACCCAATGCCTCACACATGCTAGACAAGCACTTTGCCACTGAGCTATAGCCCTAACTCCCAAGAAAAATAACTCTTTTTTTAAAATAAGACATTTTGTTTATTAGCGCATTATAGTTTTCATATGAGTTTAATTCAAAATAATTCTTAATGCATAAGTGAATCTGAATGTTTTATCTGCTAATGTCTTCTTCATAGTAATGATTCAGAGAAGGGTATTTTGTTTTCATATCTTTCTGTTACTACTTTCTCTTCCCCCATTTCTCTAAAACATCCCCTGCCACTCATTTCTTGTTCAGTTCTCTTAGGTGCTGTTTGGACCTATATACTTATACCAGTGGTCTCCTATTTGTATGGAGTAATTACTGAATATCACTTACTTTTTATAGGAGTCAGGTTTCACTTCTTTAAAAATATATTGTGAGGGCTGGGGTTGTGGCTCAGTGGTAGAGTGCTCACCTAGCACTTGCAGGGCGCTAGGTTTGAACATCAGCACCACATAAAAAAATGAAATGAAATAAAGGTATTGTATCCAACTACAACTAAAACAATACACACACACACACATATATATATATATAGAGAGAGAGAGTATATATATATATATATATATATAGAGAGAGAGAGAGAGAGAGAGAGAGAGCACGTCAGCCTAAACTCAGCAACTTTAGAGAACTCAGCATTTTGTGCTCTGTTGCTTTCTACAGGTAAACAAAATCAAAACCCCTAAACAAATAGATGAGTTGATTGAAATTGAGAGTGATACTGGAACATGGTACAGGAGGTGTTTTGTTCGGATCCGCACAGAACTGTATGGAGTAAGTACCCAGTTCTGCACTGACCTGCATGTCAACCTCTTACATTTGGGGATAGTGAGAAGAGGGGCTGACCCTACCTATCCCATCAATGGGATTCTTCCTTTTTGTCTAGGACATCTGAACTTGGATGAGGACCAAGCAATCTGACCACTTTGGGATCAGCAGCTAGCCACTATGCCCTGTCCTTGGGTAGGAAGGTGTCAGGCCATAGACAGGCTATCCTGAAGTCCATTGGCCTTCAGGAAGCTGAGAAGTGAAAATTCCAGTATATGTTTCCCTCTGGGGCTTAGGTTGAAATGAATTCAGCCCAACAAAAACTCAGCTGTCTTATAATTCAGTGGAAGGGGCAGGGGAGTGGGGTTGACTAATTGCATAAGAAAACTGTTTCTCTAATATTTCACAGATTTGGATGACTTTTATGAGATGTTTCAACTATCCCGTCAGGGAAAATACAATAAAGCTTACAATCGTTTGGTTCACCCTGTCTTTTGGGTAAGTGATATTTAAATTCTTGGTGAGTGAAATCATTAAATGCTATATTGTAATTCCCAGCCACACTGCTTTCTTTCCTTATTCAGTTCCATGTTATTAACCTATTAAAGGAAAAAATATTTTTATTTTCAGCTTAGATTTGCTGACAATTATGGGTTTTTTAAACCAATTATTTTATTTATCTTGTCTCATAAACCTGGGCTGACAAAACCAATAGCATTTGGAAATCTGATAAGGCCCTGGATGACTCATCCCTGTGACTGTCCAGTGTCCTCTATGCTTCCACTCAGCCCCAGCCACTCAGCCTCTCTGCTCTTCCTTGAATATGCAAACTGTCTCCATCTCAGGCCTTTGCACCACCTCTGCCTGGAACGGTTCCACCAGGTAGCTGCTCACCTCATTTCTTCATCTCACCTCATTTCTTCACCCCCTCCAAGGCCTTCCTTTTTGGTGATGCTGTCCCTAAGTACCTTTTTTGTTTTCCTTTCCCCTTCCTTCCTTCCTTCCTTCCTTCCTTTCTTTTTAAATCATAGCATCTCCACATTCTCTATTCCCTTTTTGGCTTTATTATTCCTTGTGGCACTTTCTACCTTCTATTACACAAAATTCTGTGTGAGAAATAAGACTCTGCCTTACCCCTCTGGAAACTCCACGATGACAGGATTTTTTAAACTACCTTGTTCACTGACATACATCTCTGGAACATAAGCTCAATAAATCATTGTTGCCAAATGAATAAAAATGCCATATATGTGTTCTAAGAAAAAAAGAGATAGAGGGAGAATTTGTGGGATTTTATTTGCTAATAGTTGACATCTCCACTTTAAAATGTGCATGTGTAACTCAATTGTTGCCTAGTTTGCAGTTAAGAAAAAAGCAACTAGATGGTACCCTACACTATCAGCCCAATAGGATTTTGATGCCCAGTGGAACCCAGTATTTACTCTGCAAATTCTCCCTTAACAGCCACAAATTAGAATAGGCAAGTGGTCCAAGATGATAGTTCTTTCCCAAGTGCTGGGTAAGGTATAATACAAGGAAAGGAGGATGGCAGGAAGACCAGGGTCACAGAAGCCCATTCTGCTGGGTGACATGATTAGCTGTGTCATCCAGTTCCTCATTTTTAAGCTAAGGGCTTTGGGTATTTTTGTTTGTTTTGTTTTTGTTTTTGTTTTTTTGTTTTTTAGGATATGGAAAGTAATTCTCACACAATTTCTAGAAAATCTATTAATGTTAGAAGAAAGGATAGCTGAAAATTAGCATATATTAGGTTCTTACTGTATACTAAGCACTAGCACAGGTACAGAGAAGATAAAGATAAGCCAAAGGAAAGTACTTCTCTCAAGGTGAATGTTACCTGAAGATTATCTGGTGTTTATTTTGGTAGCTTACTCAGTAATGACCCATTTCTTTACTGTTATTATTCAACAATGTTAGCATTTAGTGGACATTCAGAAAATGTTTGCTGAATACATGAAAAAGTAGCTGAAACTGCTCCACATTGCGGATGAATGTTCCAGAGAAGCAAGCTTCCCTCATTGTTGCCATTTTTAAGTTTTTGCTCTATGTTTATGAACTAGAGAACAGTAGGAATGAAGTAAGTGTCCCTGAGTCATTTCTTATTCAGTGACTGGCCTCACAACCTCATCATAATAGTTATATCAGATAGTGATCTTAATGTCCCTTTCCCCAGTCTTGAACCACCTTAGAAAATGGGACTGTACCCAAGATTAGCAGTGTCACAATAATAGATACATAATAGATACATGGCACAGATGTTTCAGAAATCCTAATGGCAATAATGATGATAAAAATGGCTCATATTATGTTTTGAACCCCCTTGGTATGTTAGATACTTTGCATTCCATTTAATCTGAGCAACAACCCAGGAAGGAAGGTGGGTACTACTAATCATTACCATATTATAGGTGGGTTAATGAGGGTTTAGCTGACTGGCACAAGTTCACAAATTGGGAAGTGATAAGCTGGAACTCAAACCTACTCCAACTGCAAAGGCTGTGGTCATAACCACTTATTTCCTGTACAGCTAAGCATCATTGGGGACAAATAGAATAGTGATTCCCACGTTTGAGTGCTCATCAGAACAATAACACTCCATATCCAGAGTCTTTCAGTCATCAGGCCTGGTTGGGGCCAAGTTTATGGGCACTGGCCCAGGGATCCCATTTGAGAACTACTACATTAGAGCAGCTCTGTTTACTAGAAACATAATACAAACCACATATGTCCTTTTAAATTTTCTGGTAGACACAAAAACACATACAAAAATAAAAAATAAAAAGAAACATGCAAAATTAATTTTAATACTATATTTTATTCATCTTGTTATGTCCAAAGTAGTATCATTTTTGACATATAATAAATATAAAAATAATTAATTACTGATTTTATATTCTTTTTTCATGTCTTCAAAATCCTGTGATATTTTGTATTTATAGCACATCTACTTTGAACTAGCTGCATTTCAGCTGCCTAGTAGCTGCCTGTGGTTAGTGGCCACTGGTCCAAACAGCAAAAAAGCATGATGTAGCTGTTAGAATATTATGTTAGAGGCCAAGTGGCAGACATAACCTGATTTTTCAGATAGTGATCTTAATGTCCCTTTCCACAGTCTTGAGCCACCTTAGGAAATGGGACTGTACCCAAGACTAGCAGTGTCACAATAATATAGGAACTAACAGAGTCTCCATGAGCAAAAGAGGTCATCCTGAAAAGACTCTCATGCATGTTGGGTCACAGGAGAGAGATGGGGTTTCTCAGTGCAGCAAGGAATGGTAAAAATGACATCGGGGCCAGGTTGCCATATGTCTTAGTCCATTTGTGCTGCTATGAGCAAACATCACAGACTGGGTAATTAATAAGTAATAGAAATTTATTTCTCACATTTCTAGAGGCTGGAAAGTCCAAGATCAAGGTGCCAGGAAGTTGGGTGTCTGGACAGTGCCTGGGCTCTGCTTCTAAGATGGCACTTTGCTGCTGCATCTTCCTTGGGGCTGAACTAAGCATCTCACATTGTGGAAGAGATAGAAGGAGCAAAAGGAGGGAGGCAGCTCCCTGCACACCTACATTTTATTAATCTTATTCATGAGCCCTCACAACTTAGTCATCTCTTAAAGGCCCCAACTCTTAACACTATGACATCGGGTTTAAGATTCAATTTGGGGGTTACACATTCCAACCAAAGCACCACCTATACCACTTCAGGTATAGGATGGGATTTTTTTCTGTATAACTTCCCAAAGAAAGAGTTTAGGGATTACCTACGTGGGGTTTCCCAGCTAACCTCTCTAACTATCTCCCTAACCTGATTTTTGCAGATTACTCTTAAAAGAGCAGGGAGCACACCAATGACTTGTGTGTTGATTCATTCAAATACTATAGGGAGCCAGTCAGAACTGAAAGTGCTTCACTGGGAACCATCACTGCTCTGAAAATGTTGGTGAGGAACTTATTGCCTCAGGCATGACAGCACCTTTACAAACTCATGTTTCTTTATCTTTGCAGGTACTATGGATTATCGGTTTGGTTCCCTGATGTCATTAAACATCTGCAGTCTGATGAATATGCATTGCTGACTAGAAATGTGCAAAAAGATAAATATGCAAATTTCAGTATTAACTTTACAATGGAAAATCAGATTCACACTGGAATGGAATACGACAATGGCAGGTCTAGAAACTTTGAAATCCCTGGCTATTCACAAAAACTCATTTCTTACTAGTATTCTCTGCACAGAAATCTGTAGGGGTTTTTGTTTTGTTTTGTTTTTAGTTTGTACATTTAGTAATTTTCAGGCTGAATGGAAGTTCACTTCCAAATGGAAAATACATGTTTATCAGTTGCTTCATTTAAACTACTTCTGAAACTAAGTTGCCTCACACTCCTTAAATATGGGATTGACCACTATAGAAAGAAAATTCAGAAAGACCTTGAAGAGTAATGAAAATAAGGAAGAGAAAATGCAATGGGTAATAGGTTCTTTAACTCAGGGAAGAAATCTGAAATGTAATGTGATGAGTCTTTCATTCCTGAGAAAGGGAATCACTTTTCATAATTCTTTCCTTCTCCAGTAAGTGGAATCAAACATTGAAGTTAAATTGTATGAGTTTACTTGTTTCAATTAGAGAACAGAAATGATTCCTCCAATGTAAGTATTTTGAAAGCACCAAGGGATGCTATTGAGAATGGGATCTGGAACATCTCTGGATGTCAGGAGACAGAAGTGAACAGGAAGTTGGTTCTGGTTCATTATTTCAGACAGAGAAAGGAATAGGTGACGTACTTATGTTCCTCTATGTGTTGTTTGAGAAAGTAATTGCTGGTACAAGTTCCTGATCGCTTACATTATTCTTAAGAAATTGTCCCAAATTTAAAAATAAAAGTAAAAATCAAAAATAACCAAAGTTACCCAAGGGAAAAAATCAGTTCAGTAAGATAAATTCTGTGGGATGCTTTGTAATGGACAGGAAAGATACCAACTAAGAGGTCTTAATCTAATTTGCAATCTTTGAAGGGCCTAATCATAAAACCATATTGATCAGCTTCACTCTCCCACCTGAAATACTGGCTTGAATCTGCATTTACTTTTTGCAGAAACCTTAGCATCAAATGTTCTGTAATTCTAGGGTAGAAATTTACTTTAAAAATATATTGGTACTATTAGAAATTTCTAAAATCTGTTTGTGAATGTCTCAGTCATAATCTTAGTGATATTTGTTACTAACTAAACTACTTAACTAAAGTTTTAAGATGGGCAAGGCAAAGTAGCACATGCTTCTAATCCTACTATTCAGGAGACTGAGGCAAGAAGATTTTAATTTGGAGGCCAGCCTGGGCAGTTTAGTGAGACACTGTCTCAAAATAAAGTAAAAAGGAGCTGGGTGCTGGAGTTGTGGCTCAGTGGTAGAGCACTTGCCTAGCATGTGTGAGGCACTGGGTTCGATTCTCAGCACTGCATATAAATAAATGAATAAAATAAAGGTCCATCAGGCTGGGATTGTGGCTTAGTAGTAGAGCGCTCACCTAGCACGGGTGGACCCGGTTCGGGTTCAATCCTCAGCACCACATAAAAATAAAGGCATTGTGTTGTGTCCATCTACACCTGAAAAACAAATATAAAAAAATAAAGGTCCATTAACATCTAAAAACTAAAGATTTAAATAATAAATAAAAGGAACTGGGTATGGTGGCCCATGTCTTAATCCAGCAGCTCTGGAGGCTGAGGCAGGACGATCCCAGGTTTAAAGCCAGCCTCAAAAGCAAAGCACTAAGCAACTCAGTGAGACCCTGTCTCTAAATAAAGCACAAGATAGGGCTGGGGATGTCTCTCAGTGGTCGAGTGTCCCTGAGTTTGATCCCCAGTACTCAAAAAAAACAAAAACAAAAACAAAAAACAAACTAAAATTGCTTCCCTTTTCCAAATTCAATCTACTTTCAAAAAACTGATAACCTTTAGTGCATATAGATTTTTTTTTTTTCCCTTTGCGTCCCTGCAGTACACATTGAAACTAGATAATTTTTTTAGGCTGGTTGGTCTGTGAGGCCACAGTGTATTTTGAACTGACAAATGTAATCAGGCATTACAATGAGAATAATTTTGAAAGTACTCAATAGTTAGTGATTACTTTCCAGTAAGCTCACCTTCCTAGAAGGATTAGTCCCTTTCTGTCCTTAATAGGTATAGTCTTGGTATAGTAGCTCCTTCCCAGATGATCAAGCATTTTCCTCTCAGTGACTAGCTAAGGGTATATTCAGTCTTAATACAGAACTAAGATACATTGATGATATTTATATGTGTCAGCTTGGAGCCCTTATTAATCTAAATCACAGACTCTCCTAAGATGTTATGGTTATTAAGACTGTTATTATCTTTACCACCTAGAATTCCCCCTTACAATGCCCAAAAGGCTTCTCAGCAGGTTTCATCATTCTACCAAATGTAAACAGAACTCTCCTAATTCTATTTGACTCAAGGAATATCTGTTGACCTTGAGGAAGAAAATACTCCTAGAAATGAGTATAACCTTTTTACTTCCTGACCTGGAGGCAGTCATTTTTCATGTAAATGAAACAGGATTTTCTGCCCTCTCTTCAAGATAATTGGAAGTCCCCACACTAGAATGAAGAGGCCTGGGATTGTCAGCTCAGGAAACAGATTTTCACTGAAAGTTCAGGGGACTGGAAGTGAAACTCAGTGGTACAGCACTTGTCTAGCAGGTGTAAAGCCCTACCCCAAAAATAAAAATAAAAATTCAGGGAGGAACATATCATCAAGTTAGAAACATTAACCCTAAACAGGAAATTTTCAAATAAAGGCATATCTGAAGAAACAGGAATATAGGATTTCAAAGTAAATAAGTAATAGGTAATCTTCAGACTCTCTACCTTGCATACCACACAAAACCTTTTACCAACATTGCAAAAAAACTAAGTGAGCTTGAGTGTCATTGCTTCTCCTACCGGGAAATGACAGTGAGCAATGAAAGAGACAAAGACCAGGATGCTCAAGGGGAAAAACAGAAAAGCAAAGAGTTTAGAAAATCCAGAACCCTTTGTTCTTATAATTAAGAAAGTCTATCATGAGGCATCACATCTCTAAACCTGTTTGACTTAGCTTTGAACTCTAATGGCTACAGGTCATTGATGTGAATTTGTGTGCATTTGTGTGTTGAACAGATTCCTAGGGGTCAAGTTCAAATCCGTAACTTTCAAAGACTCAGTGTTTAAGTCCTGTACCTTTGAGGATGTGACTTCAGTCAACACCTACTTCAAGAACTGTACTTTTATTGATACTGTTTTTGACAACACAGGTATGTGTGCCAGTTAGCTCTGCCTCCAGCTGGGGCCTCTTCAAAAGGCCCAGCTGTTGGCAGAAATGTGATAACCATGTGATGATGTGGCTAGGGGTTTGTGTGGGAAGTGGAGATTAAAGTAAATGAACAAGTTCCCTGAGTCAGATTGAATCAAAGGTAAGCGTGTGTTGTCTTTCTTTGTCAGATTTAGTGTAAATGGGGCTTGCTTAAGTTTAGAGTTGACATACACACACACACACACACACACACAAAATCCTTTGGTGAATAATTTTTAAAGCAAAGAATTAACCTGCGGAATGCTGGTTTCAAAATCTGGCATTTGCTTAAAAGAGCATACATTAACTCTAGTAACAGATATGGACAATATGTATCTATGCTCAAATATTATATTTTATCCCAATCAATATAATAAAGTCAGAAAAAAAAAGGAAGCCAACACTGATTGAGACTTTACCATATGCCATTTCCAGGTCATCAAACATTCATTATCTAATTAGTTTTTATAATAGCAGAGGTTTAGAAAAATTAATTTGTTCACAATCATAGAACCAATAACAGGTGATATTTAAAGATGGGTTTATCTGATTATAAAGCCCATGTTCTCCCATGCTCACACATTGATCCTATTAAATGAGTCCAGAATAACAACTTGTCACTGTCAGGAGGATCAGCCTTACCTTCTTGGTGTTCAGACAAGAGAAGCTTTGCCTGGCTCCAAGTGAGAATGGGGTCAAAGTGTCTTTGTTTATTAAATAGAGCTGTCTTTCACTACCCTGTAACCCATTGAACCTCAGAGGACCAGGTTTTTTAGGAAAATCTTGATTAGCAAATAAGATAACAAGTTTATCACAAGGTTTTCAGCAACACCTACTACCCCGTGCAATTCTTCTTAGAGCCAAGTTCAAGGAAAACTTCACAAGGAGAATGACCTTCAAAGGAGAATCACCTCAGTAGATTCCTCAGTGGATTCGTCCACGTAGACCTTAAATTACAGCCTCAGGAACCCAAGGAAATTCCCTCTCCTGGGTGCCTCTGAGTCCCATAAAATAGCAATAATAAGGTTGATCCATGCACATTTTAAACAAATTGTTTTTATAATTATAGTGTGGAAACTATTAGTGCTATAATGATGGCTTTTATGTAGCATGATAATTAGAATAAAGTAATATTGTAAAGGACTAAGCAAGTAATACAATTTGCAGTAGCCAGCTATAGAAAATCAGAAGATAACTGACTCTTTAACTTAATTGATTCCTTTCAACAAAGGTATCCCTCCCTCTGTTCGTTTATAATGTGAGGTACTGGACTAGAAACCATTGATCTGGCCTGGAGAAGAAAAGTCAAGTCAGCCCAGCCCTAATTTTTTCTGAATTCATTGTAGGTTTTCTGATATTGGTATGTTGCTCATACCTGGAAAGAGCTTGATGCATTTTCTCTGTTGTTTCTACAGATTTTGAGCCATATAAATTCATTGACAGCGAATTTCAAAACTGCTCATTTTCTCATAACAAAACGGGCTGCCAGATTACCTTTGACGATGACTACAGTGCCTACTGGATTTATTTTGTCAACTTCCTGGGGACATTGGCAGTGTTGCCAGGGAACATCGTGTCTGCACTCCTGATGGACAGAATTGGGCGCTTAACCATGCTAGGTGTGTGCTCAATTTCATGTAGAAGGAAAGGGCTGCCCCTGCACTCTAGGGGGAGCCTGCTTCCTACTATGTACCCTTTCCCCTAGAGATTTACATCCCATGAGGAGAAATCCCTTAGACCCTTCATTAAGACTAAATTGCAGTGAAAGTTATGTCTAATTACATTTCATTTGAGCAGTTTTCATGAGTTAACAGACTGAAAAACTAATTATGTGTAACTAATGTATATTTTCCACTTAAGTAACTGAGTAATGGAACATGTGCATTTCATACTTGCTGCTTTCAGAAAGCAGGGAGATGAACTTTCATATAGGTGAACACCCTTGTACTGGAGCTTTATGGAACCCAGTTTGCAACTTTCCCATGGATTTTTGTTTTCCTAAGAGTTCTCAAAGGCTCAAGAGTCCTTGCTCTGCTGAGATGACAGGAAACACTTCACCTTGTATCTGTATTGTTGGCAGGTGGCTCCATGGTGCTCTCGGGGATCAGCTGCTTCTTCCTTTGGTTTGGCACCAGTGAATCCATGATGATAGGCATGCTGTGTCTATACAATGGACTGACCATCTCAGCCTGGAACTCTCTTGATGTGGTCACTGTGGAACTTTACCCCACAGACCGGAGGTATGTTGAAAGAGCCTCTGGGATAGAGCTGGTCCAAATCCCATGGGACCACTGAAAAATTATAAAAACTAAGCCCAACTGCTACATCCCCAAGAAAGTAAAACATCCCCAAAGTATCATGCTTATAAAGCTACAGGTTCCACATTCCTCTTTTAAAAAGAAAATGTAGGGTCCAAAGTACATGTATGAAGACACAAATTGGTGTAAATATACTATGTATACAACCAGAGATATGAAAAATTGTGCTCTATGTAATAAGAATTGTAATGCATTCTGCTGTTATATATAAATTTTAAAAAAAAAGAAATGTAGGGGAATACAGTTCCTAATAGGAAGTAATAGGGCAATGAAATCAGGGAAGAAATTTAATTGTGCCCATGACTTAATTTGTTGGCTAACAGTGTGAGGGAGCTATAATGAAGTGGTGAGGATTAGAACTTAATAGCCTGTCTTGGCCCACATTTTGAGTAGCTAATCAGTCTTGCAAGGGTGATTACCTTATATTTGCAGGTGTCTGCATGAGCTCTGCATTAAGCAAGAGAGGTCTCTAGCACATATGTGTTGACCTTCCTGGTCTATTGAAGGAACGTCTAACATACTCCTATTAAAAAAAAAAGAGAGAGAAAAAAAGAAAAAGAAAGAAGGAAAGAAAAGATTGCTGTTGGAGGAAAATTTCTCACCGAATCCTAAGTGGAGACACAGACTACACCTTATATCAGAGAAAGGGCTAGAAGGAGGGATTTAAGTAGAGCCTCAGCAGCTGGATAATTAAATTTAAACAATGGAATTCCTGTTTTGCCATTTGACATAAGCTAAGACAAATGCCTTTTTCTACTTTCTATTTCATGGACAACTCTCACACTTTGTTGCCATGGAAGACCTCTGTGTTGGAATATACAGACTTCAAAATGAAGGAGGAAGGTTTTTACCCTAGGATCATTCTGAGACACTTAGGGCATTGATTTGCCATTGATCCAGGGTCCCGCCCCTGACTTTTCATTCCTTTGGTTTATT